CATGTCCTTTGCCCATTTTTAATGGGGTTATTTGCTTTTTTCTTTTAAATTTGTTTAAGCTCATGTGGATTCTGGGTATTAGACCTTTGTCAGATGGATAGATTGCGAAAATGTTCCCCCATTCTGTAGGTTGTCTGCTCACTCTGATGATAGCTTCTTTTGCTGCGCAGAATCTCTTTAGTTTAATTAGATCCCATTTGTCAATTTTTGCTTTTGTTGCAATTGCTTTTGACGTTTTCATCATGAAATCTTTGCCCATGCCTCCTGAATGCTATTGCCTAGATTTTCTTCTAGGGTTTTTATAGTTTTGGGTTTTACATTTAAGTCTTTAATCCATCTTGAGTTAATTTTTGTATAAGGTGTAAAGAAGGGGTCCAGTTTCAATTTTCTGCATATGGCTAGCCAATTTTCCCAGCACCATTTATTAAATGGGGAATCATTTCCCCATTGCTTGTTTTGTCATATTTGTCGAAGATCAGATGGTTGTAGATGTGAAGTCTTATTTCTGAAATCTCTATTCTGTTCCATTGGTCTGTGTGTCTATTTTTGTACCAGTTCCATGCTATTTTGGTTACTGTAGCCTTGTAGAATAGTTTGAAGTCAGGTAGCGTGATGCCTCCAGCTTTGTTCTTTTTGCTTAGGATTGTCTTGGCTATACGCTTTGCCCATTTTTTAATGGGGCTGTTTATTGCTTGTTGATTTGTTTAAGTTCCTTATAGATTCTAGATATTAGATCTTTGTCTGATGCATATTTTGTGAATATTTTCTCCCATTCTGTAGGTTGCCTGCTTACTCTGCTGATCATTTCTTATGCTGTGCAGAAGCTCTTTTGTTTAATTAGGTCCCACTTGTCAATTTTTGTTTTTGTTGCAATTGCTTTTGGGGACTTAGCCATAAATTATTTGCCAAAGCCTATATCAAGAAGGTATTTCCTAGGTTTTCTTCTAGGATTTTTGTAGTTTGAGGTATTACATTCAAATCTTTAGTTCATCTTAAGTTAATTTTTGCATATGGTAAAAGGTAGGGGTCTAGTTTCATTCTTCTGCATGTAGCTAGCCAGTTATGCTAGCACCATTTATTGACTAGGTAGTCCTTTCCCCATGGCTTGTTTCTGTTAGTGTTGTCGAAGATCAGATGATAGTAGCTGTGCAGCTTTATATCTGAGTTTTCTATTCTTTTTCTTGGTCTTATTGTCTGTTTTTGTACCAATACCATGCTGTTTTGGTTACTGTGGCCTTATAGTGTAGTTTGAAGTCAGGTAACGTGATGCCTCCGGCTTTGTTTCATTTACTTAGGATTGCTTTGACTATTCAGGTTGTTTTTTGGTTCTATATGAATTTTAGAATAGTTTTTTCTAATTCTGTGAAAAATGACATTGATATTTTGATAAGAATACTGTTGAATGTGTATAATGCTTTGAACATTGTGGCCATTTTAATGATATTGATTCTTTCAATCCATGAGCATGGCATGTTTTTCTATTTGTTTGTGTCATCTATGCTTTCTTTCAGCAGTGTTTTGTAATTCTCCTTGTTGGGAGCTTTCACTTCCTTGGTTAGATGTATTTCTAGGTATTTTATTTGTGTGTGTGTGTGTGTGTGTGTGTGTGTGTGTGTGTGTGTGGCTATTGTAAATGAGATTGTGTTCTGTAGGGACTACAGACATGAGCCACCATGCCCAGCTAATTTTTGTATTTTTAATAGAGATGGGATTTTGCCATGTTGGCCTGGTTGGTCTGGAACTCCTGTCCTCCAGTGATCTGCCTGCCTCAGCCTCCCAGAGTGCTGGGATTACAGGCGTGAGCCACCATGCCCGGCCTATAAATGCCTATTTTTTTATGCCACTGAGTTTAAGGATGGGTTGTTACTCAGCATTATTATGGCAATAGCTAACTGATATTCTTTCTTCATCTTTTACAGTGATTTTATCTTTTTGTTCTTGTCATCTAGAAGATATATTTAGAGACGTTGTCTTTGAATATTATAAAAGTTAAAATTATCCTTTGGTCTCTTGATTTTGCTTATGGCATTTTGTTGCCATGAAAATTTTTGCATGTATTTATCTTTTTAAAGTGGTGCATTACTTATAATGGCTTTATGCACTATATATTTTTTTAAAGGACTCTGTTTTTTTCTAGTATTTTTGTAGTACCAAGTTTTTTGTTTAAAAGTTTAGTGCATGTTTATATTTATTTATATTTGCATGTTGCATGGCATTTACGTACATGTTCTGGCATATTTATTTATGTTTGAATAGTGCACATTCATATTTACTTATATTTCTGAGAGATGCTGTAAAGAACCGAGACAGAGTCTCACCCTGTTGCCCAGGCTGGAGTACATTGGTGTGATCTCGGATCACTGCAACCTCCGCCTCCTGGGTTCAAGCGATTCTCCTGCCTCAGCCTCCTGAGTAGCTGGGATTATGGGTACGTGCCACCATGCCTGGCTGTACAGACGGGGTTTCACCATGTTGGCCAGGCTGGTCTCGAACTCCTGACCTTGTGATCTGCCCATCTCGGCCTCTCAAAGTGCTGAGATTACAGACATGAGCCACGGCGCCCAGCCCCAAAATACATTTTTAAAGATACTACCCTGTTGTTCCAGCATCGTTTATTAGTCAATCCATCTTTTCCACACTGATTTAAAATGTTGTCTTTATCATATACTAAATTATCATGTGTACTTAGATCTATTTCTGAAATTTCTCATGTGTTCAACTGATCCCTATACTCATGCATTACTTTTAATACTTTTATACTTTTACAACATTTTAATATCTGATAGAGCTAGTCCCCCCATTAGAACTTTTACATTTCAGAGACTTACTGGGTTTTCTTGCTTGTTAATTTTTTCATAAAAACTTTAGATTCGACTTCTATATTTTCCCCAAAAGTCCATAGAATTTTTATTGAGGATCTGCTAAATTTATAGATTAATTTAGGGAGAACCAACATTTTTATGATATTGAGTCATTCTATCCAAGGATATAGTATATATTTCTTTTATCCCTCAAGATCCTTTAAACATTTTCTTTATATAAATTTTGTATATTTCTTATTATTTCCAGGCATTTCATTTTTTTGGCTATTGTGGCTATTGTAAGTAGGGTTTTCTCCAGTATATATATTTAGAGATGGGGTCTTGCTACATTGTCCAGGCTGGACTCAAATTCGTGGGATCAAGCAATCCTCCTGCCTCAGCCTCTGGAGTAGCTGGGACTACCATGTGTGCCACTGTGCCTGGCTTCTCCAGTACATCTTGTGATTAGTTGTTGTTTATTTGTGTGAAAGCTATTGTTTTCTGTATATTAACTTTATACCTAGAAACGTACTCAAATTTCCTATTATTTGTAACTTTTTTTAGTTCATTCTATTAGGTTTTCTAGCAAAACAAAATCTTTTATCCATAAGAAATGACAGCTTGACCCACTCCTTTCCAGTTTTTACGACTTTTGATTTATTTTTCTGTCTAATTGTTTTGGCTAAAATTTGTTCTAAAAGTTAGACAGCAACCGTAATAAAAACTATCCTTGTCCTCGTTTTAATAGGGATGTTGCTAGCATTTTCTAATAAATCATAATGCCGACTCTTTGGATATATTTCATTATGATAAGAAAGTAAATTCATCAATTCTTATTTTATTTATTTATTTATTTATTGAAACAGAGTCTCGTTCTGTCGCCCAGGCTGGAATGCAGTGGTGTGATCTCAGCTCACTGCAGGTTCTGCCTCCCCAATTCAAGTGATTCTCGTGCCTCAGCCACTCAAGTAGCTGGGATTACTCTCTAATGACAGTGAAGATTTTTGTGTATTAACTCTCTCATTCCCCTGAGGCAGGCTAACTTGAAATGCCCTCCTACTGAGGGACTGGCAGTGTCCCAAGTTCCCAGCCTGCCCTGTCCCAGGGCATTTATAGTAGGGGAGGGGCAATGGGGGGAGGATCCTATCTTGAATCTCCTCCCTCCTCTCCAGTCCCTTGATTGCCCCTTAGGTATTCCAATGTGTCTATTCCGCCCCGCCCCCCAACCCCACGGTGTTCCTAATAGGAGAGCTGCTCTTGGATTCTAAAATATCATTGTGAGGGGCTGAGTCTTCTTTGTCTGTGCTTTCCCAGAACTAGCATGAAGACTCTCAAAGAGCAGATGTTCAATTCATGTTTGGTGAATGATATAATTCGGATGTTTGTCCCCTCCAAATGTCATGTTGAGATGTAATTCCCAGTGTTGGAGGTGGGGCCTGGTGGGAGGTGTTTGGACCATTAAGGAGGGTCCCTCATGGCATGGTGGTGCCCTGGCCATAGTGAGTGACTTCTCACAAGATCTGGTCATTTGAAAGCATGTGGCACCTCCCATACCCGCTCTGCTTGGCTGTCTTCCGCCCACTGTTGCCATGTGACATGCCTGCACCTTCTTCCCCTCCTGGCATGAGAAAAAGCTCCCCAAGGCCTCCCCAGAAGCAGTTGCTGGTGCCATGCTCATACAGCCTGGTGAACCGTGAGCGAAGTCAACCTCTTTTCTTTAGAAATTACCCAGTCTCAGGTATGCCTTTAGAGCAACACAAGAACTGCCTAGCACAAGGAACAAAAGAGCCAGTGAACAAGTGTTCTCCTTTATGATGATTTAATTTCTCCAACATTCTTGAATACATATAGCAACTGTGAGTATATAGCTTTTTATTTGATCACAACAAAAGACTTAAAGAAATAAGATTTTTAAATGTCAAAGGTTGCCAATCAAGTGATACTTTTTCCCCACCATCTTCTAATCCCAACTGATGCAGCGTTTGGTTGTTTCACAGTTTAAAGCCAATCCCTATTCCATTGCTATTTCTTCTTGCACTAGATCACAATCTAATAAGTAAAAATTTCCAATTCATTTTACAAAATACAAGAACATCACTCTTCAATGTGATAAACAGCAATAATTTTGTGAGGCACCTAATTCATGAACTTAGATTCTGAATCAAAGTCAATCTCTTTCAAAGGAACACGCGGTAGACACAGAAGAAAAAGAGGGAATCTACAAGTGGCTTGCAAATAACCAGAACACGAGAAAGACACATGTCTTGGGCTCTCTCTAGCCCCACCTCACCCCCAAATACTGAGATGGTGGACAGCCCTTTTCAATCTTTTAGTGAGGATTGCCTGAGACTTCACTACGGCTGAGAGGACCTGCTAACCCTGGCCCTGGCGCTAGCCCTGGCTGCTGCTCTGGCTCTGGCTTGTTCTTCCTCCTCTCTCAGAGCCTCCTCATACTGGGACTTGTAGGTACTGGCAACGGTATCATTGAGCTTGGCCACAAACTCCAGGACTTTCATTTTACTGGTTTCAGCGTGGGCCCTGGGACCCCACAGGAACTCACAGCGTGGAGGATCACTGCTGGGCACCTGCCGGTACTCCAGGTACCCCTCTCGCACCAAATCTTTGGTGACAAGCTCCTGGGGCTCCCCATAGAGGAAGTGCTTCCTACCCTTATACATCCCCAATGCATTCAGGCATTCCCACATCTCTTCCTCAGTGGCACGGTTGCCATGCATGAAGATGGTGCTCAGGAGAACCATCAGGAGCCCGCTCCGGGGAAAACCCCCGTCATCGCCCAAGCTTCCTTGATCGGGAAAGTCCAGCTTGCTGACAAGCACATAGGACTGACGGCTGGGGTCCATTTCCTTCAGGTAGAGGCCAAAGACCACCTCTACGTTCTCAGCGCTTCTCCGGAGGATCTCAGGGAAGTGCTGCTTGTATGTTCTGTTGATAACCTTCAGCATGGCTTCCCTCGTAATGGGCTCTTTCCTTATATACTTGTTGAGCAGGAACTGCACCAATTCGCCCGTCTTCCTGTTCAGAAGATCTCTTTCTGTGCTCTCAGAGGAGGACGGGCCATGGAAGGAGTTGGGACTTTCCCCCTTTTGGCCCTTGGCACCTTCCTCAGAACTTGTGAGTGACACAGCTGCAGCAGGAGAGCTGGGGTAGCTGGCTCTCTGGGACTCCTGAGGAATGCCTGCAGCGGGGAAGCTCTGGGGAGCACTCTGGCATGCAGGCGAGGAGGAGGATGGCAGCTTTTCCTTCTCTGCTGCGGTGGCTTGAGCACCCCTGAGACATCGGTCTTCACCTCGAGCCTGGCGGCGTTTTTCACGGGCACGGCGCTTACTCTCCTGACCGCGAGGCATGATGACTGTGCTCAGGGGCAGCAGGCAAGAGGGTGCAGGAAGTGGGCACCTGGAGCAGGAGGAACAGAGGGCGTGAGCCCCTCAGTGGGGAGATATCACCTTAAGGAGGCCCCCATGCAGGTGTCCTTGAGGACCCTGCTCCACAACCCCACCTGGCTCCTGTTCTCCAGGGCAGCCTGTCCCCTGGGGACCCTGGGGAAGAAGTTACAGTGCTCCTTGCCCTGCAGCCTGCCAGCCCTGCCTGGGACCAAGATCCTCACTTCTCTGTTTCCTCTGAGGGGAAACTGAGGCATCTGGGCTTGACATCCCTGTCTGGGGCCTCAAACCTCTGACATAGGGAGGGATCCTGAGGTCGTCTTACTAATTTGGGGCCGGTGGCTCCACACTCCTCAGGGTCCTCACTATCTGAGGCCCTTCCCTTCAGGTCAAGGCCCTCACCTTCCTGAGAACCCGCCCCCACCCCAAGGGGAAAGAAAGCATGAGTCCCCTCCAGCCACCCCTGTTCATGGCCTTTCTGGACTGGTAGCAGGGTCTGGACTCTCAGAGCCTCTGATGTTCTGGGCTCGGTGGCCCTGTTAGTCCTCACTTAGGCAGGATATGAGACATGTCCCTCAGCCCACCAGATTCCTCCAGCCTCAGCCCCAGGCCCTGTCTACCCTGAGCCCCCATGGGCTAGAAGTGAGGGGCCCTCTATTCGACTCCCTCTCCTGGGGTTTCCCAGGCCTGAGAGGGAAGCCAGACTTTGTGGTGCTCCCAGATCCAGGTAAGTGCTCTCCTCAGCCTTCACTCAGAGTCTTAACCCTGACTCCCATCACTACCTGGAAAACACTCCTGTCTTAACCTGAGACTTATTCCCTCATACCAGCCCCTCCATTCTGAAATACCCCTAGGAAGCAGTGACGGTCACCTCAGCTGGCCACAAATGCTCATCATTTCCCAAGACTGGGAGCAGTGGAGATTTTATGTGTTGGCCCCACAGTTACACATGGGTGGTCCCCTCGGTCCTCAGGGTCCTCACCTGGACTCCTGGCAAGAGCTTAACAACCTCCAGCAGCTGTCTTGAGGCTGTCCCTTTTACCCAGGCTCTTCACCTCCCTGAGACGCCCTGGGAGGAAATGCCACTCACCACGCCAACGTGCCTGGGTCTCCCGGGGTGACGGTAGGGGTGGTGCTCTATGTGGTCTACTTCTCCCTGGGAGGGGCTCCCTCTTCTCATTCAGTGTTCTCCCCTTGACTCCCACCAGGGACTAAGTCCTCCTTCCTATCCTGCCATGAATGGGGCCTTGCCCATGGGTGCAAAAGAGCCACTTCTCTGAGACACCACCCTGACCCCTTCAGGACACCAGGGATCACCAAATGCTAATGGCTCTGCCCATGGTTTCCCAGGGCGCACAGCAGAGCTGAGACTTTATGTCCTCTCCTGTGTTTTGGAGTGGTCATTTTCCTCCCTCCTCATGCAGGATTTTTTTTTTACCTTCACTCCCCACAGAGCCTGGGACTCCTTTCTCTGCTGACCTGGGGCAGCCAGTCTTGCAACCAAAGCCCTCCTCTGCTGACACCCTCTGTGCAGCCCTGTCTACTGAGGGCTCAGGATCTTCACCTTGCTACTTGACCAGCCCTGGGACTCCATCCTCAGCTCATCACAGGCAGCACCCTTCACAGCAAGGTCCTTGCTTCAATGGGACCTCAGATTTGTACATTCAGGGTAAGCCACATCCTCTCAAGGTTGTTTAGGGCCCTTAAGGCATGACAGCTGGGGTGGGACTCTAGGGGACCCCACTGCTGTACCTCAGGGTTCTGAACTTGGCTCAGGGTGGGACCTCCAACTCTTTGGGACGCGACTCAGGTCGCTTCACTGACCTAAGTCAGCCAGGTCCAGGCCCAAGCTCTCACGTCCCAGAGTTGCTAGAGGGAAAAGTCAGGGCATGCCCAGTCTGGCTATGTCTGCACGGGGTCTCCCAGAGCTGACAACAGGGCAGCAGAAACCTGGCTCTTGGGCTCTCCCTGGCTCTCTTGCTTTTTTCTTTCTTTTTTTTTTTTTTTTCTTTGTGACAGACACGGGGTCTCTGTCTGTCGCCACGCTCATGGCGTGACCATAGCTCACTGCAGCTTCGATCTGCTAGGCTCTCGCGATCCTCCCGCCTCAGCCTCCCGAGTCGCTGGGACCACAGGCGCCAGCCACCATGTCCCGCTAGTTTTTATTATTTTCTTTCTTGGAGAAAGAGGGTCTTGCTTTGTTGCTCAGACTGGTCTGGAACTGCTAGGCTAAGGTAATCCTCCCGCCTCAGCTTCCCAAAGCACTGGAATCACAGGTGTGCGCTACCACGCCCACCTCGTTGGCCTCCTGTGTTTGGGAGAGGTCTCCTCATCAGCATCAGGGACCTCATTTCGATTAGGGCCTAGGTGTCCATCCCTCTGCAGAATCGGAGCCTCACCCTCACCCCAAGCCCTCCCCTCCCAGGTACCCTCTCAGAAATCAGCGCCACAGCCTGACTGGAGCCTCCCGCGGCTGAGGGAGGTGGGTGCCCGGGGGCGGAGGTGGGGGGACACAGGGTGGTCACCTGGGCTGCGTGCGGGTGGGCCTTTCAGTCCACGATCGTGGTCCTTACCTTGATACCCAAACAGTCCTGGGGTTCTGGTAGCCTGAGGTGGCGTCCCTCAGATGAAGATCTTCACCTTCCGGCAGCTTCCCTGGCGGGCGGAAGTCGGAGTGAGCCACATCCAACCAAGTCCCTGCGGGGTCGCCCAGGGGCGGGGCTCTGCTTAGGGCCCCTTTTTGCATAGAAGTCCTCTCCAGTGTACTCAGTGTCCTCTCCGGGACTCCAGTGAGTGTTCAGTTCTCCTCCCTCAGCTGAACTGTGCTTTTGCCTTTAGACAGAGTCACTACCCTCGTTAGAGCATCTAAGCAGAAAAAAGGGGATCCTCAGCTGAGGTCTTTGTTATGACTGACAAGATTAAGCATTTTTTTACTTTTGTTTTTATTTTTTGCTGATAACCATTCCCTTATGTCACTCAGGGTCATCACCTTGATTCGAGTCAGTTTCTGGGGCTCCACTATGCACAGCTGGGGCTGCCCCCACCAGACCAAGATTCTCCCTTCCCTGAGACCCTCCAGGCCGAAATGACAGCCACCTAAACCTGACAGCTATTCCTGGGCATCCCAAGTCACAGGAGAGGTAAGGATGGGGTGGCAGGAGTGGGGATGGGATGGTGTGGCGGCGGCAGTGCGGGGAAGGGGAGATGTGGGTTGGTGGAGGTAAGAGTTTTTGTGTCTTCCTCTGTTCTAGTGTGGATGTGTGGTTTTCTAATTCCTCCCTGAAATTCCTCACCTTGACACCTGACTAGTCCTGGAACTTGATCCTCATGGGACTTGAGGCTGCTCCCCTCTGATCAAGGTTCTCACCTTCCTGGGACTACAGAGATGTAATCAGGATGAGCCAAATCCACCAATGACTATTCCAGAATGACAAGGGCTGTCAGCCAGGGCAGGACTCTATGGGACCCCACTATTCTGGCTTGTTCCTTCCTTTATTCTTCATTCGGGGTCATCACCTTGGTATCTATCAGAAGCTCACAGTCCTTATTCTACTGATCTGAGTTTGTCTTCCTGAAGTCTCTTATGCTCCTGAGAACGTTGAAGGATAATTGTGGAGATGCTCAGTCTCAGCCCTGCCTGTGGCCCTCTAAGTCTGAGAGCAGCCACAGGCTGGTCTCTGTTGGACCTCCAATATTTTGGGATGATGGTATCCTCAGCCCTCCTACATGGGGCTTCACATCTTGGTTCCTGTCTCGTTAATTCAAGGCTTCCTGGGAAATGCCAAAATCCCTGCAATCTCTTGAACAGTTTTTCTTCCGCAGGCTTTGCAGAGAATGGCTCCTTGCCCTGAAGTGATGAGAGATCAGGAAGCTGTAGCTCAAGGCAGGGGGCCCAGGACAAGTGGTGGGCAGTCAAAATAAAGCCAGTTGGTCTATTCCATTTCTTCACCAGCCAGACTTAGCCTCTGCTGTAACTTCGGTTCTAATAGATTGGCTTTCTCCAAGGAAGGGTAGGGCCACATGATTTTGTGAGTCCCTGATCTTTTCAGGTGATCTGACATCACATATGTAGATGATCATGTGGTCACTGAGTATTGTCTCTTTCTTTTCCTTATTCTTAGCTCTCATTTATTTTTGTATTCTTATTGCTCTGGCTATGTATTCCAAACCAGTAGTTTGTATACAATATTTTTCTTCTTATTACTTGATATGCAATTTGGAGTAGGGAGAAGAAAAGTGAATTAAGATACACAAGGTCTGTCTCAGGCTGAGATGAATGTGACAGTATGGGAATAGTTTTATTTTACATAAGCAATACTTGCTGGGTGTAGTGTCTCAAGCCTGTAATCCCAACACTTTGGGAGGCTGAGGTGGGTGGATCACCTGAGGTCAGGAGTTCGAGACTAGCTTGGTCAACATGGCGAAACCCTGTCTCTACTGAAAAAATACAAAAATTAGCTGGACATGGTGATGGGTGCCTGTAATCCCAGCTTCACGGGAGGTTGAGGCAGGAGAATTGCTTGAACCCAGGAGGTGGAGGTTGCAGTGAGCCGAGATTGCGCCATTGCACTCCAGAATGGGCGATAGAGTGAGACTCCATCTCAAGAAAAAAAAAAAAAGCAATACTTGCAGATGGTTAGCAAGAAAGTTTATTTTTTTCTTTCCATGGCATTCCCCAACATGTTTCCTAATTGATATGAGCCCCTATGACAAGTTTGACCCCTCACAGTGATGTACATTAAGGAGTTCTCAGAACATTACCCTGCCTTTGACTACAGGCCAGAAAGTCATGGTTCCTTTACTTCTTGTCTGGTGTGGGCATCATTTTTAATAATGGTGAATTAAGTCAGTGTTAGTTGGTGCTGCTAATCTGTGCACCGCAAATGACAGTTGTTTATTTGATGGTCCTATTGGGCATGACAAGTAAGGTAAATACTAATAGTTGCCTAAAAGGCAGAATTTATTAACTCTGACACTTCCCCCCTCACTTTGGCTATTCATGCTCTGGGTCTGTGGTTGTGAGAAACTGATCACATAGAGCTCTACAAAGGGAATTTTGTGGTTTTCTCTAATTGGTTCAGACAATGCAATAGACATGAGGGATGGCAAGACAGAGAGAGAGAGAGAAATAAAGAAAGAGAGGGAGACAGAGAGAGAGGGAGGGAGGGAGTGGGGAGGGAGAGAGAGAGAAAGAAGGAAAGTAGAAAGAAAGAAAGACAGAAAGACAGGAAAGAAAGGAAGAAAGAAAGAAAGAGAAAGAAGGAAGGAAAGAAGAGAGAGGGGTGGGGGAAGAGGAAAGAAAAGAAAAGAAAGAAACAAAGAAAGAAGAGAGAGATAGAAAGGAGAGGGGGTGGAGGAAGAGGAAGGAAGGAAGGAGAGAAGAAAGAAAGGAAGAAAGAAAGAGAGAAAGAAAGAAAAGAAAAGGAGGGAAGGAGGGAGGGAAGGAAGGGAGAGAGAAAGAAAGGGGGAGGGAAAAGAAAAGGAAGAAATGAAGGAAAGAAGGAAGGAAGGGATGGAGGGAGGGAGAAAGGAAGGAAGAAGGAAGGAAGGAAAGAAAGCTTTATAGAGAAGAAAAGGTCCCTGGCCCTAAGAAGCTTTATTAGTCCAATGCAGGAGTCAGCAAATGACAGCTTTCAGGCCAAATCTAGCTCACCATCTGTTTTTGCAAATGCAGATTTATTAGAACACAATCACACTCACTCATTTACATGTTATCTGTGACCGCTTTCGTACTACAAAGGCAGAATCTAGTAATCGTGAGGGACGCTGTATGTCATGCAATGCCTAAAATATTTATTCTCTGGCCCTTTACAGAAAATGTTTGTCAATTCCTGATTTAGTGGGATAGATCAGCATTTACACAAGTAAGTATAATTCAAAGCAGGATATGATTAAAAAAAAAATAGGACCCATGTAGAAAGTACTGTGTGAGTACAGGAGCATGGGAGGGCTTCATGGAGACAGAACACTGCAACTGGGCTTTGGGGAATGGGTTGGATTCCAGCCAGCTGAGAGACAAGAGGACATTTTAGGTGAGGTGGTCCTCAACCCTGTCTGCTTATTGCAATCGCTTGGAGAGTTTTGAAATAGAGATGTCTGGGTTCCCCCTCCTTGAGATTCTGACTCTGCTATTCAGGGACAGGGCCTGGGCATCAGGATTTTTTTTTTTTAGACAGAGTCTTGCTCTGGAATGCAGTGGCCCGATCTCAGTTCACTGCAGCCTCTGCCTCCCGGATTCAAGTGATCCTCCCACCTCAGTCCCCAGAGTAACTGGGACTACAGGTGCGTATCACCATGCCTGACTAATTTTTGTATTTTTTTTTGTAGGGATGAAGGTTTCACCAGGTTGCTCAGGCTGGTCTCAAACTCCTAGGCTCAAGTGATCTTCCTGCCTTGGCCTCCCAAAGTGCTGGGCTTATAGGTGTGAACCACTGCACCTGGTGGGCATCAGGATTTTTTAAAACTCCACAGGTTATTCTAAGGGCAACCCAGGTTGAAAAACACTGGGCCAAAGAAGTGTCAGGGAACAATTAGGAGCAAGGTGTGAATGGAGGGAGTCTCTGGGTGCAGAGGGAAGGGATAGTGCAGTGGGAGATAAGCCTGGGAAGTAGGGAGTCAAATCAAGGTCAGAGAAATTAGATTTTGTCCTGGGAAATGGGGACAATAACAAAATGGGGACAATGTGGGCATGACAGCAACATGATCAGAGGCGTGTATAAAGAAGCATAATCTAGAAAAAAACCTAAAGAATAAAAATAAGAGCCTGTTAGGGGTTTTTTGCAAGAGTTTAAGCAAAACAAGGAACATATCTTGTTTAGGGCAGTGACGTGGTATGATTTGGCTGTGTCCCCACCCAAATCTCATCTTGAATTGTAGTTCCCATAATCCCCACGTGTCATGGGAAGGACCCAGTCGAAGGTAATTGAATCAAGGGGGTGGCTACCCTCTTGCTGCCCTCATGATAGTGAGTGAGTGAGTTTTTATGAAATCTGATGTTTTTATAAGGGGCTTTTCCCCTTTCGGCACTTCTCCTTCCTGTCATCACGTGGAGGATGTGTTTGCTTCCCCTTCCACCATAATTGTGAGTTTCCTGAGGCCTCCCCAGACCTACAGAACTGTGAGTCAATTAAACCTCTTTTCTTTACAAATTACCCAGTCTTGGGTGTGTCTTTATTAGCAGCATGAGAACAGACTAATACAGTAAATTGGTACCCGCAGAGACTGGGGTGCTACTATAAAGATATTTGAAAATGCGGAAGTGAATTTGGCTTCCAGGCAGAGGTTGGAACAGTTTTGGGGGCTCAGAAGGCAGGAAGATGTGGGAAAGTTTGGAACTTCCTAGAGACTTGTTGAATGGCTTTGACCAAAATGCTGATAGTGATATGGACAATGAAATTCAGGCTGAGGTGGTCTCAGATGGAGATGAGGAACTTTTTGAGAACTTGAATAAAGGTGACTCTTGCTACGCAAAGAGACTGGTGGCATTTGGCCCCTGCCCTAGAGGTCTGTGGAACTTTGAACTTGAAAGAGATGATTTAAGGTATCTGGCTGAATAAATTTCTAAACAGCAAAATGTTAAAGAGGAAGCAAAGCATAAAAGTTTGGAAAATTTGCAGCTTGAGGATACAATAGAAAAGAAAAACCCATTTTCTGGGGAGAAGTTCAAGCCTTCTGCAGAAATTTGCATAAGTAACAAAGAACCAAATGATAATCACCAAGACAATGGGGAAAATGTCTCCAGGCCATGTCAGAGACCTTTGCGGTAGCCCCTCCCATCACAGGACCCCCCTGCTCTGTGCAGCCTAGGGACTTGGTGCCCTGTGTCCCAGCCACTCCAGCCATGGCTAAAAGGGGCCAAGGCACAGC